TTGAATTTGAGACACGCAAGCATACTGTATATTCTGAAATTATGATTTTTTTAGGGGACCAGGAAAAGGTTACCAGATACATCACAGCTGTGTGTATTGATTAAGTATTTGTGGGATTTTTTTTTAGATTGCCAAAGGTAAAGAGCATACTGGCATGTAAAAGCTGCTAGTTATGATAGTTTTAGTCCAGGACTTGTAATCTCGTGTTTAGTGTGTTTGGTCAGGCAAAGTCAGTCAGTGTACTGGTCCCCCATCTGTGCCTGTGCAGACTGGCCAATACAGCCCCCAGGCTTCATGTGAACAGTGGTTCTTTGCTTTGATAAATTTGTCATGCTGATGACAGATGTATTTTTACACTGTCTGTACTGGTATACTGCTAGAAATAACTGAGCCAAGAGGCTATTTAAAAATACTACCTTCCTTTTCTGTACATCAACAGGTTTTGAAAATGGAAAATGACTTTCAGTTACAGTTGTAGTAGCACCCTCTCAAGGAACAGATAGGTTTTTAGTAATCTCAGTTATCTCCGGTGAGTGGTCGTAGTTCTTGAAAATAAGCAGAACAACAATCCTTTCTCTCTGCCATGTAAAAAAGAAAGATAGCTGAAGTATTTGAGTCTAATAATAGGACAAAACTATCATATGCATAACGAACATGTATTCTAAAACACTGTTCTTTAGTGTTAAATATTGTGTTGCATTTAATGAGAGTACATGAGTTTGCAGAATGGTAGTTTAAAAATGTACAATATAATATTCTTTTTCTGTAATTTTAACAAATTTGCCACAGACTAATCTGAGTTGTAATCATGACCAGAAATCAAAATAAGAGCCCTTCATTTTCTTCCACCTTTGTGAATGTAAGTTGTATTTGGGGTATTTTTTAAAAAAATGCTACAGAGATTTAATGTTTTAATTTCATTTGTCAGCTGCAATTATTTACTCTAGCAGTTTCAACTAATCAAGTAATGTTATTCTGTGTATCTTGCTTCCTGCCTCACCTGATAATTCCTTAGAATACAAATACAGAAATACAGTGACAGTGCCTGATATTTTTAAGGGCAGATTGTTTTCTATAGTCCTTCCCACAAAAAACTCAAACCAAACAGATGTCTGAGTACTTGCTAATGCTGTCTGTGATGCAATGTGGCTTTGTTTTCTGGAAAGTGATGATAAAGTTCACAAATTTGCACTGGACATTGTACAGTTTGTGACAAGCCCCTTATTACTGCTGGCCGTAGTTTCTCTAAATTTGGGGTATCTTTTTTTATTGCTTGGAGATCATTGTATGAGGTGAAGTCTTTTGCGCCAGATCTACTGTTCTGGCAATGAATGTTTTAGTGGAGGGGTCATTTGAGTATGCTTTTAATAAAACCGTGGTGATTTATTTGGGTGGTAAATTCATGATGTTTGAAAAACGCACCAAAGGACGTGCTCCTGCTTGTTTGGCAGAGCTGTCAGAGCACCTTGGGTGCTTGACTCCCAAGTAAGCTCATGGTACAAGTGGTTCATCTGGCTGAGGGAGCTATTTTCTCCTGGATTTGTAAGGGAACTTGTGGGGGCAGTTGTGAGTTTTGTTCCACAGACAAAGATAGTAAGAATTACTCTGATCAAAAAGAAAAGACAATGCTGAAGAGTTTTAGCAGGGACACCCTCGTGCATAGGGGTGCAATCAGAGTTAATGTTAATATGAAAATGTTAATGTCCCTCTCTAGAGGGATTTCCAGGGGATCAGCTGAAGCATAAATCTGCCCTGTTGGTGTGTGGAGAGATTGTTGGAGGCTGTGCAGCATAAAATTCTGAGCAGGCACACTTTGCAAGTAGCATTGCATATTGGATTAGGCTTTATTTGTGCAGGTTTTATTCTGATGTGCTTAATGCAACAGTTGAGAGAGGGATTCCTCTCCTTACAGATTTGTTTTGAGAGTGAGTAGCACAGAAATCTATGCTTCTAGTAGTGTCTGAATAATCTGATACCACCACAGTGCATATAAATAGCACATAAGTATATAATAGCATCTAACTTCTGACATTTGAGAAGATGAGTGAAATTGCTGGAAGACTGGAAAATACACTGAACTTTAAACCTGTCTGAAGTATAACCTGTTAGCACTAGAAAGTCTTCACAATCGCATTGGGATAATAATATTTTTAATTTACTTTTAGAAACCAAATTCATACCACTTCTCTGTGCTTTTTGTCAATGGAAAGAGGGATGTTGGAATTTCCTCATCACAGCAAAAGGAAGCTGTGATGGTTGGTAGCTGCATCTTGGGAGGTAGATTTGCCATCTGGAAAGTTTTCCTAGTGCTTGCAATTTAATCATTCACTAGCTAAGTGTCTCTTACTTCTGTGAGATATTGATAGCTTAGGGATAGTTTTAGCTATGCTATCTTATGTTTATCCTGTCACATCTGCCTATCCACTTTTTTCTTTATGCCTTCACATGTGTGCTGTGATGTCCGTTCCAAGCGGTGTGACTGTTCTGTGTTGGAGCAATAAAGAACAACTGGTGCTTGTCTTGTTTTGTCTTTTCAATGGTGACTGTCAAGCAACAATAAAGCTCAAAGGTGCAAATCATCTCTGAGAGACCTGAGAACTTCTCATCTTGCTGGGAAAAGAAATATAGTTGAATATTACAATTTTTCCAAATTTTGTGTATTCTGTCACACAAATTTTACACAAATTATTGCATCCACAAAGTTGAGTCTTCATATAAATGCCAACTTTGCATTGAAACTGAGAATCTGTGAGCACTGGTATTCCTTCCACTAGCAGAGCTATTTCGAGATGCTTAGATTTGATTGTGATTATATCCTTCCCTTGTTTGAGGGGGAATTTAGTTGGCTGAAATGCTATCTAGATTCATTTTGGTAGACTGGAAATAAAGCTGCTGCTGAATCTAGTCTGTTCCAAACAACTACTCTGGAAAGATTAGGCCAGATCTATGGATTACTTTCTTTGATACACCCTATGCTCTAAGGTGTTGTGAAGACAGTGAAAGACGTCCCTGTTTTGAATCATGTAACTGTGTGTTATTCCTTCAGAAGGATAACTTCTTAAGGACTCTGCTTTATATTCTAAATGGTTGGTTTAGACCAAGATTTTTTTAGAAGTGGCTAAGAACCGATACAGTTGATGGGACTTGTTAATGTAACTTGTGAAACTATATGATAATCAGCTTCCAAGTACCTTGGAGTCAGTAGCCCTTCCTAAAAGCAGAAGGAAACTTTGAGTACTTTGCTTTTTTTTTTTAATCTTGTTTTGCAGAACTCCATTGTAATGAAAAAAAATTGTTAAATTAGTATCTTGTTAAATTTTTAATGTGTGGTTTATGATGGAAAATCTAACCCAGTATTTGGCAGCTGTACTTAACAAAGAAGAGAAAATGTATTGTTTCTGAACAGTGTTATTCTGGCTCTTGTACTGTTATACAAATATATCCTTACCTGAGCCTGCCTGTGAGCAGGCTGATGGCAGGAGGAGGAGGGACTATATAGAACACCCTCATTAAGAAAAGCTCTATCTCCAGTCAATCAGAAAAATGGAAATGTAAGGCTTATTTTTAAGGTGTGGGGATTTATTTGTTCATATTTCTTCAATCAGAAAAGAAGCCATTGTTTTGTAGTAGCAATGCATTAGTAAGTAGAAAATGACGTTTGATCTGCAAATTGTACAAGTGACTTTTGTGATTGTGAGGCCAAGACTGAGTGCAAATGCCGGTGCTTATACACGTACAAGGCTTTTTGCACACCACCTTCCTGCAGGAGAAGCAATATTGGTGAAATTTGCACTTTCTGTTTGTAAGTAAATTCAATGCATTTTGCATGATGAAAATCCATCATGTTACCTGAAATTAGTGGCCTGTGAAATACACTGCCATAAGCTTTATAGTTTTTTCAGTTATTAACCGCTCCCTGATGAACTACCCATTATAGTAGATTGGGATGAATGTTTGGCACGTTACATTCAGCTGTGGAATCTTTAAAAGATCTGAATGGCTTAGAAGGTAAAACAAAGTAGTGGATAAAGTGTTCAGTGTCTTGGCTTGGATCCAGCTTGATGTCCTAAATGAATGCATCATGAAACCACAACAGATCAACCTAGATTTACATAAGTGACGTATAAGAGCCCTGAAGCTAAGCCAACATAGTGACTGAATTAGCTCCTGCATTTAGAGAGGCTTCTCCCTCCAGGTCAGGCTTCTAAACACTGAAGGGGAACTAGCAGTTATAGATTGAAGCATGCCTACCTTGTGGAGGAGAAGAAATCTTAGAGCTTTGGAACTTTTACCTTTGACAAGTGTGACTGATTTTCTTTTTTTTTGGCGGGGGCGAAGAGGGGAGAAGTACTATCAACAATAATGGAAAAACTGGAAGAATTTCTGATAGTGGTGTTTTGGTCAAGAACTTGCCAATCTTCCCTGAAATATCTGTTCAAAATCTAAAGTGTTTTGTTGCTGCAGGGTTGATATGTACCTTATGTATCACCCACCCTCATCAAATGCCAGGCTTGTTCTTGTAGTAAATAACTGTACTGTAGTGTGATGCTTATGAATAGGAAAATTTTGCAAACATTTGTGTGCAGGTGAAAAACTGCAGCATTTGTGATCTTTTCTCTAAATAACTTCTTTTTAAAATATTGTCTTATTTTTAATAAGACAAGACAGTGGATGAACAGAAGCATTACTCTTTTGAGTAATCATTATGTGTTTAATATAGTTTTGATTTTATGTGATGCAGGGAAATAGTTATTAAACAAAAAAACAGTTATGTGTAGTGTGTCTTATTCTAGGGATTTGTATCATAACAAAGATGTTGCAAAGAGATACTGGAGACCTTTTAAAAATATGTTCTACAATTTATGTTTCTAACTGATATCCTCACATAGGATATTGGTAAGTTCCAGCAGCTATTTTATTAATGTTGGTATTACTTGCAGTTCTTATTTATGTACACTTCAATATTCCAGTAACTTGATAACTCAATTTTTGTTTCTCAGCATGATGTATCACAGACTTTGCTCAAAGCAACTCTGGACAGTGTGGTTGAAGAGTGTGTCAGCTTTGTAGGAGTTGATATTAACATCTGCTCAGAAATACTATTAAGGTGAGTCAAACATTTTCCTATTGCAGTAATTACATGGCTCTGCATCACAGAGTCTCTGTTTAGTCTGCCATCTGACTCAAGCTCAGCTGGAGCAAATGGCTCTTGTGTTAACCTTCCAATTACATGAAAATGACACATTAAGACAGTATTTCACTGTATCATTAAGAGTCAGTTTTTAAATGTACATGTGATTCTCCAAGGTGAAACTATTTTTTGGAGAAAAACAGATACTTAAAAATTTTGAGCCAACACTGCAATTTTAGAAAAACTTGATGTAACTAATTTGTATTTTTACACTGAGAAAGAGATTTTCAAATACACTTTCTATCTCTCAGAAGGTATTTTTATAGGTACTGCTAAGTGGAACAGGTTGTAAAAGTTGGGCCAGGAAAGTAGAAGAGGAAAGGTTTGAGGGGAAACTGCTGAAAAATTTATCCCTTTTTACTGTGTGTTTTGTTATTGTTTTTTTTCTTAAGTAACTGTGCTGTATTTACGTGGAAAATGTTCTGGATTTTATTTCTCTTGGTTAGAAATTAAAAGCTCATTCTCTCTCTTGAGTGCATAGATGCCAGAATCATTTAGCTGAACAGCCTCTCGAAGAGAAGTGTTGCTGTCATTCTTTGTAGCAGGAGGGAAAGAAAGCATGTCCATAGTCTTAGGTGGGGCAATTTTATTTGGTATCAAATTTAGGAAAAATGTATTCTTGTTAGATCTGTCTTTCATTTTTTAAGCCCTTATAATCATTCTTGAAAACATCTTTCCATATTTTGGAGAAAGCTTTCTTTCTATCCGTTTCCCACAAACACACACACACACACACTTTCTCTTCCATATTCTTTTTCTGTGTATCTAATCCTTATCCTGACTCCTGATTTACTTTCTCTCTTAACTCCCTTCAGGTTTAGGTTTACTATTAGTAAGAGAGCAAGCAATACATACCGATCTATGAGGCTGACCAGTTTTCATTGCCTACCTGAGCAAGTGCCGTGAGTGGCACTGTCATCTTTCTGCAGGGCACAACGATGCCGTACAGTTCAGCAGAGAGCACAAAAGGGTGAACATGGAGTGACACCATCCATGCTTACAGGCAATAACCGTGGTGACTAAATACTTTGGTCTAATTAACCTGCCTTATGATACTTGTATGCAATTGCTACATCAAGTTCTGGATCTAACTTGACCCTGAGCAGTTCAATTCTGCTTTCGCATGTAGAGGCAGTCTAAGTTTTCCTCATATGTACAGTGTATGAAATTGTCACTCTAGCTAGAATATACCACGAGCGGGGATTTCTGCTTGTGCTTTCTGACGCACCAAATACACTTCTTGAAAGATCTTGCATGTGGAAGAGCTGACAGTGCTACAGTACTTACATTACTGCTGAGTATTGTACTTGAAAGACCTGAGATGATGAGTGGAAAATTTTGTGAGCTCTGTATCATGTTCCTTTGTCATTGTCAGTCTAAATAAGCTGAATTTCTTAATGTTTCTAAGAAATTTTTGAAGGAAATTCCATTCCTAATGATTAATATTTTGTCTGTAGTTAAAGGTGTGTTTTTCCAATTTAATTCTGAGGTTTCACTGGTTTTGGTTTATTTCTTGAACTTTTGCTTGAGGATGAGAATAATGGAACATTTTACGTATATATATTTATTATTTTTGACTCTTCTTGCCATGTTTGCTGAAGATATTTTTCTAGAATCAGTCCGTGTCATTCCACAAACACATCTCTGCTGCTGTTGACTTAAAGCAATGGTAACTCACATATAGAGGCACATGAGTGGCATTTCCTTCTCTAGTCCTAGGAGTAACTGCCCACCGCAGCTCTTTTCCCTCTTTCTATGATTAACACGCTCCATACACAGTAAGTTGTACTCCCATGTACATACAGAAAATGTGCAGCAAACCCACTGCTTCCTGAAGGCACTCGGCTGACTGCAGTTGCACTTCACAGGTAAGTTCTTTGCCAGATCCACGTTGCCCTCAGAACAACTCATGCAGCCTCTTCCCAGCTGCTATTTCATCTCAAGAGCAGCTGAGAGAAAAGGAACAAGCTGTGTGGATCTGTTAAATTGTGTGAGGAAGGCAAGCTGCTCCCAGCCACTCTCCCGGATAGCAGACGTCAGCCCTTCATATTGGGGCAAGGTGTTGCGGTACCACTGGAAGAGAATAGTTTGGGGGGAGGCTGTTCTCACAGGAACAATTTATCTGTCCTGAACCCTCCTCCCACGTTGTTTCCTGAAGAGGGCAGCTGGGGGCAGGCCATAAGACATGACAAATTGAATTGGCGTTATAGAAATAGCCAACAGATTGTAAATTACACATCCCTGGCTTACGAGTTTGGTATGTGCAGTACTGTAGTGCTGTACCAAGTTTTGTTGACTTGAGTGGATTCCCTCCACAGAACTAAGAGAAGACATTCTTTTTCAGGTGATGCCTTTGTGTCTGGGATTCTATTTGCACAATTCTTAGCTGTTTTTAAGTTTTGTAGACCCGATTTTATATGGTAATGTATATCCTTGTGATGGATAACACTTTTATTAATGTCTGTTCAATGGTATTAAATGTATTCTGTGAACTTTTCTCTTAGACATATTGCAGGACTGAATGCTAACAGGGCTAAAAATATAATTGAATGGCGAGAGAAGAATGGACCATTTATAAACAGAGAACAACTGAAAGAAGTTAAAGGTCTGGGTCCCAAATCCTTCCAACAGTGTGCTGGATTCATCAGATTTAATCAAGAATATATAAAGACCTTCTGCAGGTAATCGAGATGTTGGCTATCTTCCCTAAATTATCAAAAATAGTAAGAGAAGACTTTTTCCCCTTTTCTGTTTTGTATTCAGGATCAAGACTTGAGAAATCCTAGGCCACTGTGTTCTGAAAGACAACGTCTTAAATAAACTTCTTGAAGTCAGTGACTGGACATTTTTAAATAGAGATATTAAAACCTTAGTCTTGTGTTTCAGACTTAATTAAGATATTTTAAAATTCATTTTAATGTGGTGAAGATTACTCTGCAGAACATAATGGTAGTGAACTAGCATGTATTTTGTGAAAGTTTCAGTTCCATTAACTGGATAAAGTTGAGTAGCTGCTGAGATCAAACTTAGACGATGTTATACTCGGGTGCCTAGCAAGCAAGATGTGACTGCCTTCTGTCTCAAATATGTGAGGCCCTTTCCCCGGTCTAGTTTGTCAACGGTGGGTCGTAGTTTCCTCTGCAATCTCATTCCCTGTTTCTGTACCAAGCCTTTTTCTCTTGCAACCATTCATTGTGCTCCTCCTGACCCAAAATCCTTCCTTTGCACAACCGTAAGTGCCCTTTCTAGGGCAATGTCTCTTCTCCTGCCTTTCCTATTTTTCCTTCCAACATAAAGAACTAAAAAAGGGCACAGCGGTAGCACTGTCCCCCACCCTTTAGCCACTGACTCTTCTCAAAAAATATTTTCCTGGGAAGCACATGCTGTTTTTTAGCCAACCCAGTGCTCAGAAGCAATACTGTATTGCCAGTTGCTGCTGGCCAAACAGCACATGCGTAGCTTCCAGGCAGGAGGTAGGCACATTAGGACTGGCTTGCTGCCTGGGTAGAAGGTACACAGATTGGTTGCCCATCTGGCAGGGAGGCACATACTGCAGGCCAAATGGTGTGCACTGTAAGCACCAGAAGGCCAAAGAAATTGCTTTCAAGGCTGTAGATGATCGATAGGTCTTACATTGTACAGGTCTGTTCAACTGAATGCTGCAGCACAGCAGAGGAGGAAAAGACTGATGCCTTTTTTTTTTTTTTCTCCTGCATCGCTCACTGGTGACACTTTTTAGAACATTGTATTTTTTTTTCTTGCTACAGCATGCTTCAGATGGCAGTCAGATTCCATAAAACTTGAGAACGCTGTTTAACCTGAGAGATCTGCTCTAACTGTAGAGTTTGTGGCCAAAATAAAGCTCTAACACCATTGCTTCCACAACATTTCTTGTGGGCCCAGGTGGCAAAACCAAACTTTTTGAAATGGACTTTGAGAAGGTTTCATTTTAGTCCTCTCTAATCCTGTTGTTGGCAAGAGAGTGCTGTGTGAATTAGCTTTTTGTGCTTTGGAGGTTAACAAAAAGTGTTTTTTGTAAAAATTGGCATGGAACGAGAAAGTTATGTCTGCATTTCTGCCAATGGTCAATGTGCATATAGAGCCCAAATTGCGAGTACTAGTTCTGGGTTCTTCAGTGTGTTCTGCAAAAGCAGATTAGGGAACAAAACAAAACAAACAGATTAGAAAAGAGCCTTTGCCAGTAGGAGTCATTTGATGCCTTTACTGCATCAGCATTTTGTTACTTAAGGGAAACTTTAAGGGAAGAAGTGTGCCAGTTGTAAATATGCTACACACAATGAGATAGATCTTTCTCTTCTGTCAAGTCCTCCTGCCAATGACGGCAATCTGTCCAGGGGTCTCTCTCTCAATTTAAACACAAAACACCAAAAAAAGCAACCAGCAACTGAAATGCTAACTTAAGCTAATTGATTAGGACTATTAATCAACTGTTGATGAAATTGTCCTCATGAGATTTTTATCAAGTAGGTAAATGCAGTTGTCACCATTTTACAGACAGAATATGCTATCCAGATTGCAGACAATACAATAAGTTGTGTAGTGTTTTCTTTATAATCTTATTATCATGAAGGAATTTTGATGAAACACAGAATCCCTTCCCAATGTTTTTTTTCTATTTTTAATTAATTTCTGCACACATTGATCCATTATATTTTATGCTGTAATTGTGTTGTTGAGATTCAGCCGCATTGAGCTTTTATGGCAGTTATGTTTATTTATTTTTAAAAGAATGAAAGATATACAAATGTCTTAACTGTATTTTTCACATGTGGACACTGGGCTAGGTTCTTGTCCGTTAAGAATGACATGTCCATTTTTGATTTTTGACAGTAGTAAGAAAACTGAACTTGGAAGTCATACACTTTTGACTAAAGCAGGTACACTGGCTAAAAAGAAGAGCAAACCAGCACCATGTGCCTCACGACAGCCCAATCCTTTGGACCAAACTTGTATTCATCCAGAATCTTACAACATTGCAACGAGGTAAGCAGTGGGAATTCTTTTGAACCATAAATGCTATCAATTTTTAAAATGAAGCTACTGATTTTTTCTGACAACAGCCTGTTCAGCCTTCTGAGACAGGAAGTCTTTTATTAATTTGAAGCTTTCTCCCCTTTTAAGAAAAAACTACACTTCAAAAGTTCTCTAGAACTGAAGGGTTTCAGTTGGTGTGTTTTGCTTCTTACATGCATGCAAGTTTTTATTCTTTGGATCTTTTGGCATTCACATCATTTTGCAGTGAGGAATATCAGTGAATTTTCAAAACTTTGCCAGACTTTCCTTCTGTGACCCTGTCTTCTTATCACCACTTTGTGCCTCGTTGAGACCATTTTTCTTAATTTCCTTCTGTTTGCCAACTCCTTTTATGCCACGCATCACTTTGAGTTTGGACTTCTGGTTCATAAGGTGTGGAAACAAATCATTTATTCTAAAAGCTGATTTATTTATTTTTCTTCTACTCCCGTATTTTCTTTCCGCCATATATTATGTAAAAGGTCACAAGTAAAACATAATTTTATTTTTCTTAAAAATCAAAATGCCATGCAAGTTTTCAGTCAGTGGTAGTTTAATACCTCTGCATCATTAAGAACTGCTCTTATGTTATTGCTAATGTTCAGCACATACCAAACAAACTTTCTGCTTAGGGAATTTTGGCCACCAGAATGTGTTTATTTGTGTGTTTGAGTGTGCACACAAGTCCACAGACATATGTGAGTGTGTGTCATTATTATGAGCCTTTAAAATTAAATTTTATATTGCAAAATCTGATTAAGTTGCATTATATTAAGTTTCTAAATACATGAACACCATGGTGATTTTACTAACTGACCTTTGGCTAAAGAGGAGAATGATTTTTGTGTAGGTCAGAAAAAAGTAATTAGGAACCCATGTGTGCCTCTTGTTAGGGGATACTGCAGCTGGTAACTGCTAGTTTAAGCTGTGATCTTTTCTATCATCAGCCCTGCTTGAAATTGGACTCTGCTTGTCCTCTTGAGAAAACATTATCTCCTACGATAAACCAGCACGTATTTATTTTTTTTAAAGTGATTTGCAGGTTCTTTTCTTAAAAAGTGCTGGTGCTTATTTCAGCGGTAGCTAGATGCTTTAGGATTCTTATCATCTCTGTTGAAAATATTATTCCTGGAGAAACAGTCATGCTTGCTGTTTTATAAGCAAAACCATGTTTAAGCCTCAGAGAGGTACGCTGAATTGCTGAATCCATGAAGCTTGAATTGCTTATCTAAAAAAGTCTTAGAAGACCTTGCATTTTTAGGACACCTTCCCTAGAGCGTACACTCTATTCTCTCTCTGGTGGAGCTGCTTGCATATACAACTTCCTATGCATAGATCTACGTTCTTTCCTTCTGCTGTTTCCATCCTCTCCCTGCCACAGTTCGTTCTTCTTTATGCCTGATCCTATAGCCACTGTGCAATTACCTGCTAGAATCCACGCTCTTTGGGCAGCGTGTGGATGACTTTAGTTTCTTCTTTTTGGCGACCTTCTTCCTTTTTTTTTTTCTTATGTATCAGCATTTGTTACTAGTTCTCTGCCCTATGCATAGCTGTGAAAAGAAATCATGTTTATCTTAATAATCTGATGCTTGACAGGTGGCTTACAGGGTGACAAAATTTGGTCACCACTACTGGAGATTATTCAGCTTAAGTCAATGTGAAAAATAAATAAATAATTTTTTACTAACCAATTTTCTTTTAATGTTGACTTTTCAATATCACATTTCATTCAATTTAAATATCAAGTAGTCAGGATTTGGTTAATAGTCCATTTAGCTTTTCAACCCTAGTGTGCTAGTAAAATAATCAGTAAATGTGCTCATGGCATTATCAGCTTCACTTAAAGCCTGACATGGAAACATTGCCTCCAGGAGCAGAGAAGGGTAGCCCATTAGTGATGGAATACTACAAGAATTTATCTATATACAAAATCGATCAGAAAATACAGAGCAGCACAGATTACTTCTATATCTGAGGAAGTGACTGGGATTATTACTGTCTAGGGTAGCTCAGATATTCACACACAGTTGAAATCCTGGAGACAATTTTAGTAGGTATCACAAATCATATAACTGTGATTTGGAATTTGTCTAGGAACCTAGGATAAATAGGCTTATCTTTTATTAAAAAAAAAAAAAACTTTTATAAAAGTAAAAAATAAAAACCAACTAGTGAGCACAAGTTTTACATCTTAGCCAAAAGGTAGTGGATCGAGTCTCAGGCTTATGCATGGTTCAGAGAGGAGGCTGACACCTATTGCCCAGCCAGCACTGTTTAGAGGGTGCTTTGCTGGTTTTTAAAATCTGCTCAGAGTCAAACTTGATGGGCTTTGAGAGCTGCAAAGCCGCTGCGGAAGTGTGATGTGGCTACAGACCAGTTCCACCGATCATATAATTTCTCTTTGGCAAATGCAATTAGTTTAAGTTTCCAGCTGTGCCCTTGTCTGTTCCCTGTTCCTCACCAAACGCTGCCTTCCTAGGCTGAATTTTCAGGTGAAGTATTTAGATCCAAGTGCATGTTGTAGGTGTTGTTCCCTACCGGGTGTTTTTATGCACAAGAAACGCAGTAGATCTCAAAATAAATGTAAAAACACAATAGCATTATCTGCTAATAGAACATCTCAACCAATAAGCGTGGCATCTGTCTCTGTAACTCAGTCTTTTCTGTTTTCTTTGAGCTTTTTACCTGTTATGGGTATCTGTACACATAGTTTGATGTGGGAACAAAAGTCTCAGAGTGCTTTATTTGGTTTCTATGCACGTACTTTATGTTCAGCAGTATGCTTCTTGCAAACAAAAGATAGTTTCCTGGAAAGCTCATTCAATGCAAAGGTGACAGTTTTTATGGGATTGATTGCTTTAACCTGCACTAGCTTGATATGACAGAACGGTGTGGGGAAGGGGTGGAAATAGCTGTTTAAAGAAAAGAAAACACATCTCTGCAGCAAACTGGCAAAAGCCAAGAAATGTAGGATTAAATATTGACACTCATGACATGAGGGCTAAATATAAACCAAACATCCTCTACTCAAACAACTAATGTTATAATTTAGCAATGATTATATATTTAAAATTACTTTTTTAAGGAAAAAAAAAAGCACATGAGCTATTAAGCTTCTTGGAACTTTAAATGACTTTCCAAATCAATTTGCTGCCTAAATACGAGTTAAGAAAAATTTCTGCTAGGTATTCAGACTGCATGGAGAATTCAATCCAAAGCTTATCAGGGTTGTTGATTAGTTTTGCTGACTTTGACAAGGAGTGGATGGGACTGGGCTTGTTAATTCCTTTTTACTGGGCTTATGTTCATGGGAATGCTTCTGAGAGTCTGAAGATGAAAACATGTTCATGTCATTGATTTGAGATGTCTTACTTAAATCAACCAACATCCAAAGGACTTTTTAACATGTTAGAACTAAGGTAAGTTTAAAACCTAACTGATAACTATTAGATTAAAGTTAATGTGCATGAGAAAAATCAAGATTGTTGGAAGTGGAATAGAATCAGTATTTAATACATATGTTTTTAAAAAAAATACATTTGAAAGAAATTCTGTTTCTTCCTTTTCTGTGCTTATGCAGTTCTTTGTCAGGGACCATGTCAAGCTCACAGGTGGATTTGTGCTACAAAAGAGCAGAACTGTTGTCTTGAGGAAGATGGGCCGATTTGTTTCAAGGCATCAAAATACAGTATTACATACCTTCTATGACAGAAATAAAAATTAATGGAATAGATTCTGTATATATGAGTTGTGAAGGCTTCCTCATGCAATGTCTACTGCTGTGAAAAAATTGTCTGTGAAAATTTTATTGGGTTAAAAGTTTTTATGGGAAATTACGTTTATTTTTAAACAAAATACACTGGTGATTTTTATCCACTGATTCTATCCAAATTATCCAAAAGCAGCAGTCCACAGTGCAGATTTATGACATACAAAATTATCAGGTTTTTAAAACACTGTTTTTTGAGGGATAGGAGTTCACCAAAATTTGAAACCACTAATTTTCTTTTCTTTCTGAACTATTTTGGAGCTTGAAAGGCCAATCCATTAAAAAAAAAATGGTTAAAAGAATTGCTCCCAAGTGGTGACTTCAGTTGCCAAGCTTTAGGCTGGAGCCAATTTTTATGGCTGAATTAGAAACCCCTGAAAAATAGGAGTTTTATAATGGAAACACTGATGTAATCTTTACTACAGTGGCACAAATGGTACTGGTATGATTGATTTATGGCATTTAAACATCTTAACTTAAAATCTGTACAACTCCTGTAAAGTAATTGGAAAACATCCTACTGTTGATTTAACACACTCTGCAGATGAGCAAAACATTTTTGTCTGTGGTTTCCACACTGTCAAAGTTTGGTTTGTCTTGTGCATAGATCAAGCTTACAGACACCTCTAAATCTTATGAATCGGAATTTCCTAAAAGTTTAATAAAATTTAAAAAAATGGTGAGGAGTGTATTTTTCTGCAAAGCAGAGCTGTGTTTTACGTTTCTGAAGGGTCTGTATGTGAAAACCAGTTTATAATGGCAGAATCTTCTATGTACAATTAATACAGCATGTAGAGCATATCCAGTTTCTTGGTACATGTTATAAAAGAACTGGTAGGAAAACCAAGAAAACGTTTAGGAAGTCCCAGGAAGTTACAACCAGGTTATGCTTATAAACCAAAACACTGGAAAGAAAACGCAATGTTTTTTCTTTGTTGTATCAGTCTGCTGGGTGCAGTTGGTTTCGTATGACTGAATCTTAACATTTACTGATTTTTATTTAAATCTCATAAAAATACTCTTTGCTAAAGGCTGGCACTCAGAATGTGTGCTTCCTGCTCAGAGATTGCAGCATCTGGCAGACAGGTCGTATTTCAGTCTTCTCTAGGAATATTTTACCAATATTTATAAAAGATCTAAAGTTGCAGTTTACCGTAACGGTGGTGAGGATCTTCCTTGGCTAATTATCCAGGTTTAGGAC